ATTTTCAAATTATTTGCATACAATGAAGTGTTGTGGATATTTATAATAAAATTGAGAACAGGTTGGACTAGTCAGCTGCTTTGTCCTCATTTTTGGACGTTCAAATGCAGTGCACATTTGAATATAAGGTGGGGTATTGAATCCAGGACTTTAAGCTATTGGACAAGCATCAAACCATTTAGTTACTGGGTCAGGATAAAGTGGTCACCATAACCAACTTTAGACAATGGGGTATGTAGCACGGTTGTCATCAAAAGTCCTGGGAGAGTAAATTACTTCCTGCTGATTAAAAAACGCCATTGATCACAGTTTCCTTCTAGAACTTTTGGAAACCAATGCCAAAACAAGTCAATGGTAAGCATAAAATTTCATTGAAATCATAAATTCGGATGCTGACTCACTGGTCTAGATGTCAAGCGTTCATGTATTAAACTGAAGGTCCTGAGTTCGATTCCCAAAGGTGGGATGGTGAATGCACACTACTGCGAAGCTCCATAATAGGACGAAATGTCCGTCCACTGCTTCCAGGTTTTAAATAGTGGGTCTAAAATTGATTGATGATTTAAATAAAATTCGACAATCTCTACAACCCCTTACTGATTGGCATCAAATTGTTTTTGTGATAGGTAGTATATGAAGATTTGATGCTTTATAAAGATGATTCTCGTCACGTTCTGAAATTATGCTTGATAATGGCCTCAGTAACCTTTGGCCTCACATCCAGGCTAAACCTCTCACTTATCAAAATTCATAACTCTGACGTAACGTACAATCAATCACTTGTTTCTATTTTACTACAACCTTACAGTAATTAGATAGTGTTGACTTAAATAAACAGCCTCTACGTTTCCCTCAAAAGTGGATACATGGAAGGCGATATGAAACTTTTCACATGCAATATTAGTGTGGCAACTAGTACGTGATTTTTGATGAAGTGTTTCTGTTGAAGTGAAGTTGAGTGATGAATTTGAATTAGTGGATAATAATTAACCTCGGTGCATGGTTTTTTATCACTTGGTGGGCAAAGCCTGACATCGTACAATCTTTTAATTAGACACGTTCGATTACTTATGTAGTTGATATGTTATATGTTAAAAACGAAGCGACTTGTTTTTTAGACTGCTAAAGGCTGTGTAGACTCAATATATCACTAGATAAGTTGACATTTGAAGCGAAAGGCACTGAATTCAGGTCACGGTGTTGGCTTACTTACTTAATTAGTCTGTTACTCCCAATGGAGCATAAGCCGCTGACCAGCATCTCCAACCTACTCTGTCCTAAACCTTCTAATCTAGTTCTATCCAGTTTTTGTTCATTTTTCTCACGTCTGTCTCCATTTCTCGAAGTAATGTGTTCTTTGGTCCTCCTCTTTTCCTTCGGCCTTGAGGATTCCATATAAAGGCTTGCCTTGTGACGCAGTTCAGTTCTTTCCTCAATATGTGTCCTATCCACTTCCAGCGCTTCTTCCTGATTTCTTGCTTCTCTGGAATCTGGTTTATTTTCTTCCAAAGAAGTTTGCTGCTGATAGTGTCTGGCCAACCGATTCGAAGTATTTTGCGTAGACAACTGTTAATAAACACTTGTATGTTCTGGATGATGACTTTCGTAGTTATTCAATTTTCCGCCCCATACAGTAGAACTGCTTTGACATTTGTATTAAAAATTCTGACCTTGGTGCTGGTTGATAGTTGTTTTGAGTTCCAGATGTTCTTCAGTTGTAAATATGTTGCTTTTGCTTTGCCGACCCGCGTTTTCACTTCTGCATTAGATTCACTGCGTTCACTAATGATGCTGCCCAGATATGTAAAGGTTTTTACATCTCCCAAATCTTCTTCGTCAAGTGTTATTCGATTGTTGCACTTTGTGTTGTATCGGAGAATCTTGCTTTTCCCTTTGTGTATGTTGTGACGTACTACTTCTGAGGTTGCTGTCAAACTGGTCGTTTTCTCCTGCATTTGTTGTTGTGTATGTTGACACTAACATTAAAATATAGATATGTCCGGATGATAAGCTATAAATAAAACGAAATGGTTGTCCTTCATTCTACTACCAGCTAATATTTAACCGTAGCAAATTTTTCTAGTAGATTGGCAACAATCCTAACGTAAAATACCTCTACACTTACAACAGGATATCGATTTTCAACTTAGTGCGCTTCTGGTCATATACACATCATATTCAGTATAATTGGAATTCATCTTCATATTCCTAATGTTCTTTCATATTTAACAAGAAAGTAAGAGAATTAAACATTCATTTTGTTGAGGAATTTCATTGGTGCTTTTTGTTTGAGATATTTTCTGTTGTGACTTTTTTTGCTTACTAATTTGTAAACATTCAATAATCTATTATAATTGTACATTAGTAAATGATAGACGGATTTTAAAAAAAAAAGTTATCTGTTATCATATGAACTTTATTTCAAAGTTTAAGATAATTGGCATAAAATTCTTTAGTTCTGTAGAAAACTAACCAAATATTTTGTTTGTTTAAACGTCTATTTATTTAGGTTGACAAAATAATGCTTTAATCATATTGTGATGTGTACTGCAATAACGATTTTTTAAAATAGAAAATTATCATTATTGTCATTCTGTTGATCAGTTCCTGATAGATCTATGATTATTTGTAATTTGAATGTTTTAAGTTATAATAAGTTCTTAGAGCAGCGTTACATGTATTCCAGTTTACCTAAAGAGAATTTGTAAACGAACAGTGTAACTTTCTGTTTTTTTAAACTAAATTAAAATTCGAAACTTTAACTTTCTATTGGGATAGCTCTGTTATTCTTATTATTTCTCAATCTTCATAAATGTTTCGACAGAAATGACAAATCATATTGTTTTGTTTAACATGAAGTTGTGGTAGTTCACCTTATTCAAAAAATGTATCGTTTCTTGATTTGTTACTTTCTGTCTTTTTCATTTTTCCTACCATTTGGAGATAAGATTGAAGAATATTTTCGATTAATAAATAATATTTTAAATAACATACTCCTAGGATCTTAGCACTTACAAATTGACGTGAATGTAACCTAAATTATGGATCAATGAGTTGTTTATTTATAATCTCTTAAACGATAAGCTGAAAATCATATTTCTACTTTTAATTTTACCTCAATTGTTGCGTTTATTATTTTTGTGAAGGTGGTTAATACAAAGTATTGCAAAGTTGGCAATGTAATTATGTAGCTTGTTTTAACGCATTGAAATACTTTATCAACAAAAGCTTATGAAATCGATGCTTTTTTCTAAACGTTTATCTGAAATAAACATGTTTAGGAAGTAAATTATATTTTATATATTCCAAACTAATTGGCTTTAAATATTTTGTTTTGAGTAAAAAACTTGTGCAAGATTGATTAGTTATCCTTAAAATTCATTTTTATTCCTTAATCTGAAGATACTGATAATTCATAGTTCAACGAAAGATTGATTTATGTCACTCGGTGTCTAAAAGAATTTGACGTTATATCAAACAACAGGGTGTTTTAATGAACACTGGACATTTGAGAGAACACTTGTTTTAAATAACTTCGTTAGCTCACTTTTGAGTTGTAAATTCACGATTATTTTATTACAGTGGCCAAAACTAGGCATCAACAAAGCAGTTTAATCAAAAAACTTTATACGTCATTATAGTTTGCTTACTACAGCTATTAGTGACATGGATGTGGTTTGTGCAGATATATAGCAGTAGGAAACGCTGTCTAGAACTATTGTGAGGTAAATTCCGTGTATTCAAAAGACGAATATTGGATTTATTAGTATTTCAAATGGAATTTACTGCATTTGAGAGACTAAAAATTCCGAAAGTAAAACGTTATTTACTGTCAGATAAGTAAACCCAAAAGACCATAAGGGGATTGTTGTGTTTTTAAGCCCAGTTGATTATCACATGATTTATTTGCCAATCAAAATGCAACTTATACAATCCTAGTACTGTGCCAAACTAATGACTTCCTACCTGCATAAGCAACCCAGCGTTCTTATTGATCCTTTGTACTCCTATCACTTCCAGTTGAGTCCAGAACGCTAATAACAGTTTCCATCATGGGAATCATTTATTTCAAACATACTTGGTTTATACATCAGCCAAATAAATCACATAATATCATTAAATAGGAAATAACATTTATGCAAGATCTGACCGAAAGGTGACTGTGAACGTGAGAGACTCTAATTAATAAAGTGAGCATAATTTAAGAATAGTCAGTCGTAAAATAATATTAATCTATAGGTCAAAATGAAGCTTATAATATGAGGAATATATATACTAGTTACTGAGTTGTTATACGATAAGAATATATATATATATATATATATATATATATATATATATATATATATATATATATATATATATATATATATATATATATATATATATAATATTAGTCCATTATTAGTTCTCAGAAGCTACGTGTAATTTGATTCTCATTAGGATATGGTAGGGATACTAAGCAAAGACTGATAGTGGCTAGCAGTGGAATCTTGGATGCGCATTTCATCCTATTGATGACTCGTCATTTGGATCAACCTGCATCCCAGAATTGCCGTTCACTTCGGATCTCTGACGCAGTGCCATTCGCTTCGCAAGCCATCACGTCATCCACTTAGCTACTAGGCCCACATAACTTGTGCAATAGGGTGGTTTAATTTTTAATATATATATATATATATATATATATATATATATATATATATATATATGATGCTCATGACTTAGGGCGATATCGAGGCAATCCTCACAAGATGCACATATGCCAATAAGAGACTGATTAACTGCAGTCCTGAACATCAATGGTAAGATTCGAAAAATCAATATAAAAATGATATTAGGGATATTATTTAAGTGATTGGAATGGATTTCTCTATATTTATATTTGTCACACAACACTTTGTGTTTGTGTTTCTTTCATTTGTTCTGTATATAGAGTTCAAAAATACTTTAATATAACTTTTTCAATTTCTGGATCTTATTTATTTATTTTTCTCTAGATACTAAGGAATTTATTGTACATAGCTTAGCTGAAAAGCGTTTACAAGCTAGAGTTGGTGATTATTATGAATGTGTTTCAGAGACTCAATTTGTTTTTGATACAGAAAATAGTACAGTAGTTAATTCGAATGATAATTACATTAAATCACATAACGACAAATGGAATATTATAATGAGTTTACAAAGTGTACGCTCTCAAGCATTTGCTGACGTCAATGTACCAGAATTTACTGGAGCAAGTAAGTACATTTCCTTAGTCACATCCTGTATATGTAAATATAACTGACAATAACTCTTGCTGTCAGCATGAATTACATTCAAAATAGCATGATTTCATTCCATCAATACAATTTAGCAGCAAAGCGTTGTACGATTTATCACACGTCAATAGTGAGATTATATATATATTTCAAAAACAGATGCAAACAACAAAGAAACATTTCAATTAACCATATATATATATATATATATATATATATATATATATATATATATATATATATATATATATATATATATATATATATATATATATATATATATAAACACCCATAGAATGCGAATATCATGAATCTGTAATCGTCAAATGATTCATCAAAACAAAGAAGGAGGGAATCGCAATGAATATTATCATAAACCATGAACCCACTAATGATAGCAGTGACGAGAATAAACATCAGTGTTACGAGAGGCTGCAGTCGGTCACAGAGAAGTGCCTAGAAGGGGATCTGACCATCCTCATAGGATACCTAAATATCAAAGTCGAAATGAACAACACCGGATGTGAAGATATAATGAGACGAAATGGACTGACTGAGAGAAAGGAACGAGAATGGCGAGTGACTTGCAAACTTACGTGCATTCAACAAAATGGTTGAAGGTGGAACTTTATTCCCATATAAAACGCATTCTCAAGGCTACATGGGTCTCATCCGACCACATCGTGGAGAACCAGATTGGCCATATTTGTATTAATAGTAAATTCAGAAGGTTAATGGAAGGCGGGAGGACCGAAAGAGGAACTGACATAACTTCAGATCACAACCTAGTGGTTGCAAAGATGAAACCGGAGCTTAAGAAGCACTGAACAACTGAACAAACGACATAACAAAGTTTCAATACAGCCTTTCTACGAGATACTGACAAACTCCACGAATTCAAGTTAGCTCTCAGTGACAGGTTCCAAGCCTTACAAGATCTTCTGAAAGAAGAAGGGCAACAGGAAAGGGATCAAAGAAGTACTAACTTCAACGTGTCAAGAGGTGCTGGGCCGCAAGAAGCATCGTCATAAGGCATGGATCTCTATCGAAAACCTAGACAAGATTCAAGGAAGGAAGAAGAAGACAGCAATTAACAACAGCTGAACATGAGAGAGAAATTAAAGGAACATGGTGATTATAAAGAAGTAAACATGAAAATGAAGAGGATTATCCAAGCCGACAAGCAGAAATACATGAAAGATTTGCATCGACGGTGGAGAAGGTTGCTAGAGAAGGAAATATGAGACGACTTTATGACGCATCGAAGGAACTGGCAGAGAAATCTTTTAAACTAGAGAGCCCGGTCAAGGACAATGAAGGCAAGCCGACAATTAGGAGACATCACACTACTATCTGTACTGGGAGACGTTTTAAACAGAGTATTGCTGAATCGGATGAACGATTTAGTAGACGCTCAATTTCGATATCAACAAACTGGATTCCATGAAGATCGGTCGTACACAGATCAAATCGCGACACCACTGATCATTGTTGGTTGGAATTAGTCACGACACATCAACTTTCTTGACAATGAGAAAGCGTTTGACAGTGTGGATAGGAGAACCTTGTGGAACCTTCTTCGACACTATGGTGTACCTGAGAAGATCGTCAACATTATTCTCAATTCATAAAACTGACTACACTACAAAGTGGTGCGTGGAGCACAGTTGACAGACGAATGAAGACCTGAGTCAGACATGGCTGCCTACTCTCCCCCTTTCTCTTTCTTCTGGTGGTTGACTGGATTATGAAGACCTCTAAATCTGAGGGAAGGTACGGAATACGATGGACAGCTAGGACACATCTAGTCAATTTGGACATCACAGATGATCTAGCTCTTTTGTCTCACACACTAACAAATACAAGTGAAGTTGGCCAGTTTAACAGCAACCTCTGCAGCAATATGCTTCAACGTACACAAGGGAAAAAACATGATCGTCAAATGCAACACATGACACCGACTGAATCGCACTTTGTGGAGAAGTTCTGGAAGAGGTGTAAACTTTCACTTTTCTTGATAGCATAATTGATAAACAAGGATGATCTGATGCAGATATGAAGGCATGGATTGGAAAAGCAAGGTTCACATTCCTATAGTTGTAGAACATGTGAGACTCAAAGCAACTGTCAACCAACATCAAAATCACAATCTTCAATACAAACGTCAAGACAGTTCTATACGGAGCTGAAACGTGGAGAACTACTACAACTGTCATCAAAAAGTTACAGTTATTTATTAACATTATCCGGTTCGCCGGATAACAAGCAACAACCTACTGGACTGTTTATCCAATCAACCACATTTGACCTTATTTATTGTCCATACAATTTAAAAACACACAAAATTTCAACGTTAGCACTTCATAATACAACTACATACAATTTTTACCCACCTTCTGCCGCACAAATTAATGCAGTGGCAGGTCATACAAATTCATCTTGACCAAGAATAACACCACATTGATATATTCAAAGCTACAATGATTTTGATTGCACTAAAAATATTCTGCCATGTTTCCTTTATATCATTTAAATTTGTGTTAATTTGATTCAGTTATTTCTTTAATCTGAAGAACTCTCTTACATCAAGTCACGGAACGTTAGCAATACAATTTTCTATTTATTGGGATCTAAGAAAAAAAACATTTATTTTAAACTTTCCACCGAATGCCCAATTTATTTGAAACTATCATGTCCAACCTTGGCATTAATACCTATAACGAAGAATACCGATCTATTTAAAGACATCTTTTCCCATATTTCATTTGTTTTCTTATTCAGATGAATATTTTGACTTTAATAATTTTTTAAGACAATTTTTTCATTGTGCTTATTTTTTTCAATTATATCTTTCTAGGTGTTGTTTGTGCTGGGGATATCTCACATGATATGAGTCTATCTATTGCAATTGGTTTATCATTGTGCAGTTTAGTTATTTGTGTACTATTCGGTTTAGCAATTAATCACTTAAGACAAAAAGATGAAGTCTTTAAGCCTGTGGATACAACAGGAGATAACCAAAAGTCATGAAAATATAACGATGATTATGAACATTGTTCTCGAATTGCAAACATTTAGCATTATTATCACATTCATGACTTACATTACTCATTTTTAAGTTCACCATTATTCATTATATTAGTCACCTAAACCAGATCAGTAAAAGTTTTGTAACGGAAGACGGGTGATAGTCTATGCATTTTTTTCACATTTAATTATTTCTATTTTAATTTTGGAATAAATACTACTTATAAAATTCCTACCGTCCATGTTTTTCTTCAAGAACTTATTAAATAAAAGATGACAACTCAGTAAAAGCAAATTTAAAATGTTTTCAAAGACAAAAATAAAATGAAATAACGTCTGATACACGCTAAGTTTAGGGTAAGGGTCAGTGTTTTCATCAAGAACTGATACTAGCTTGTCATAACTTGTGACCGCCGATTAGAGAGCAGTGACTTATCGATCAGACCAATGACGCGTAAACCCGTATGAGCAGCCTAGAGTCTTGATTGATCCTGCTTTCCTCCTAGCCCAACCATTTAAGACCAGAACACCAACCCGAGCCTCTGTGATATGAATCATTATATTTCAAACATACTGAGTTTATATACCAACCAAACAGACCACAACATACTTTAAAATAGAAAATAACATTTGTACAATATGAAACTTACACGAACAATTTTCGTATGAAAAATAAGTTTACAAGTAGAGGGACACAAAAACATAATACTTTAAGTATTGCATAAATATATAACAAAATACAAGTCCTAACCCCAAATAGAACCGCTCCAACTTTGCTGAATATTTATCTCAATATAGAAATATCACTTAAATAGAACTATTGCTGTATTACTGATCTCTGCGAGAACGTAACTAGGTGAGACTATAATTAATGGACGAACCAATGACGTATAACATAACAGGTCTCCGATTTCAGCGGGAAATTCACTCATCCATTCGAATAAATAGAGTTTTGGCATTATAGTTGATGTCAGTTTGTGATGAAAACCCTGAACATAATTCCTAGCTGCAACCATCAAATGCAAATCATAATCATCGCACAGGTTTATAATCCTCATTTTATAGTGGTTATTAGGTGAATACTCTCATGGTCATTTAAGCGTTGCTCAAAGGTTGTCCATAAATTCAAGTCTCACCCTTAACTTGAGATTTGGAGACGTTAGATCCTCAGAACTCACTTGGACAAGGACCTAATTTTGTAATTCTTTTCAGAAAATTTAAATTTCTTTATTTTCGCACAAAAAGCGTTCTTGTCATCTTCATGTCGTATTTCCCACTTAGGAAATATTTTAAATGCTATTGGTCCGTTGCGTCTTTTAGTATGCTATTCGCTAACTCTCTCAAGGACGGTTTTGTGCTGTATATATATATATATATATATATATATATATATATATATATATATATATATATATATATATATATATATATATATATATATATCATGACTTTGGATCCATTTCTTTTACCCCGCGCCAATTGTTATAACTTGTGAGTGAAGATTAGGGGGTAGCAAATTATCGATCGGACCAAAGACGCGTAAAACACGTTAGAACAACCTAGAGTCCTGATTGATCCTGCTTCCCTGTCTAGCCCAGCCATTTGAGTCCAGAACGCAAGTCTCAGCCTCTGCGATATGAATCATTTATTTCAAACATAGTCATTTTATATATCAATCAGACAGACCACAACGTACCATAAAATAGAAAACAACATTTGTACAATATTTGGCACGTGACATAAATATTGACCAATAGGAAATGTCCATCTAAAGGTCAAGGAGACCATTAGACTTATCAGGATAATTTTTTGGATATTTTTCTGAATATCCCAACAGTTTGTTGTTATCGTTCGTTTCTGGCAGTTTGCAGAATATACTTCTCCATTCCGAGCTTGGACTTCTCCCTCTAGTTAGCGGGGCTGCGACTGGGGCTAGCTTACTGGTCATTGGTCACCGAGTCTTGTTTCTCGTTCTCAGATTAAGTGAACTCATGATAGCTTCTACCCTAGCAGTTTTGTCCAAAATGCACAGGGATTAATAAGTGTGCACTACTTCTGCGTTTCATTAAACTACTTCTCCAGCCTTACCACGTATTAGTTCTGTTGAGGACGTTAGATTCTCAGAACACACTTGAAAAAAGACCTAACTTTGTAATTTTATTCAGAAAACATGAATTTTATTGTTTTCGTGCAGAAGCGCTCTTTTCATTTTCATGTCGTATTTCACACTAATATCGCGGAATTGCGTTCCTTCATAGGACTTGTTAATTATTATGTTGCGTTTCTTCCTTCGATCATGATATTCTTGCGCTCCATTGAATCGTCTGTTGAAGAACAGCTGCACTCGGAACTGGACCAAAGAATGTGATGCTACGTTTTGTCAACCCACGTTCACAATTAGCTCGAAATTGCTGTCAACGTACCTTGATCCATCTATGGCAATCATGGTAGTTGCAGACGTTTCAGCGTATGGCCTAGATGCTCATATTTTTCATCAGTTTCCACAAGATTATGTACGGTTGGTGATTTACGCTTCTCACAGATCACAAGCTTGTGCTCACAATGTTTGGGTCGAAATCTGACATCTCAGTCCATTCTGCAAATCGTCTTAAGCGATAGGCTCTCGAAACCTTGTGGTATGATTTCGAGATCCAATACCGACGCACTCAACAATTTGGTCAGACAGAAGCTTTGTCACGACACATTAATGATCAATTGGCAGCTGATGAAAACATGGGAATCGCATCACTGTCATGTGAAGACCACGCGGAATGTTATCTGACATCCGCAATACAGGAATTGCCGATGTCTCCAACAGACACAAGGATCGCTTCCAAGAACGACTCTGCCATCAAAATAGAGATGAGATATGTGAACAAAGATCGACCGTCTAAGAAGTATGGTGGTGGTATGAAACAGATGTATCAGCGTCGGGATTCACTATACATCGTAAATGGCTGCTTGGCGTTTGAAGAAAAAGCGATTGTGCCGGATCCTCTTTGCGCAAAAGTGCTGAAACTGTTCCACATTGATCATTCGGCGGTTAGACGGATGAAATCCATAGTCAGGAGTTATGCATAATGGCTCCCAATGGATCAACATATCACTGAGTTGGTTGGAAAATGCATTCCTTGTCAGCAAGCGATGCAGGTAAATGTCAAAGTCCCGCCAGTTTCATGATCACAACCTCACTATCCTTGGCCCACGATACACGTCGACTTCGCAAGCCCGATTAATGGAACTAAGAACTTAGTTGTGGTCGATGCCTTTGCGAAATGGCCAGAAATAAGTGTTGTAATGCAACCCATGACAACTAAAACAATACAGCTCATCACTGAAATTTCCTCCCGAAATGGCTCACCAGATGTGATTGTATCTGACAACAGGTTGCAATTTACCTCTAGCCAATTACAAGCTTTCCGTCAATGGCCAATCATTACGCACTTATGTTTGCCACCATAATACTCGCAGTCGAATGAGCAAGCGGAAACGTTTGTGGATACATTTAAAATAGCATCGATTAAGTCGAAGGCAGAGGAAACACCAGCCGACGCGTTAAAGAATTTCTTTTTCGCTTGTCGAACAACAGCAAATGAGACGGTGCCAGAACAAATGCCGTAGCAGTTATCCTGATGGAAAGAAGACTGAAGACGATCCACAGCCCAATGCATCCGAGCAATATACCAACACCAGTAGAGACAAAGTCTGAAAAAAGCAATCCACGTGCGAAGTGAGATGTTCAGTGTTTGCTCGTGACTACAGAGCAACCCGTGGTCCATGGACAAAAGCGCGAGTGGTCAGAAGTGTAGGCCGTGTCATTTACAAAGTAGAGGTAGGAGGCGATGGTTGGTCACGCCATCGGAATCACATACGCAAACGGCTAGCCTCAGACCACCCATTAACAGAAGTAAACATTTCCCCTGACATCCTGTTTGATACCGTCAACTTACAAGCAGCCCCACCACACGGAAAAGCTCAACAACAAGCCGATCTTCGTCCCAGAAGGTCGCCTCTCCGACAGCTGCGGACACCAGTCAAGTTGTAAGTCGACACTAGGGAAGTACGATATTGAAATAGAGAGGAGTGTTGGAGAAGTTAGATCCTCAGAACGCTTTTGAAAAAGCATCTAATTTTGTAGTTTTACTTAGAAAATTAGAAATTCGCTGTTTTCGTGCCAAAGGAACTATTGTCACCTTCATGTTGTATTTCCCACATGGCAGAATCTTAAGCATTATTGATCTGTTTGGTCTTTTAGTGTGCCATTTTGTAAATCTCCTAAAAGACGGTTTTGTGCTGTACATATACGTTTTGATTTATGCCTGTTATTATCGCTCTTACTTTTGGCTTCTTTCAGAACATAGTATCCTGTTCGAACTTCGACTGCTCTCTCTCTAGATATCGGGGCTGGGACGCAATCGAATAGTTAGTTTATTGGTCTTTGGTCACAAGTCTTTGTTCTGTTCGCAGAACAAGCGAACTCGTAGCCGCTTCAAATCTAGCAAGTTCATCATGAGAAGTTGTGGAATTTCGTAAACATGAACCACTTAATGTAGATGTAAACCATCTTCATCAATAATAAAGTTTATTACTGTTGGTATATCATAAACGAAAATGTATGGACCATCTCAAGTGTTATAGAAGCACATGTTCGATTTTAAACGAACCTATTTTCCGGAATGCCAATTATAATGATTTACTGTTCAAACAACTTCAGACACGAAAATAACCCATGATTAATGGTACAGAACATTTTAGGAACATTAGGTAAAATATTCAAAATGTTTGTCATCTTTCACTGAAAGATAATGAAAAAGTTTCGAAAAGCAAAAGATAGCTGTTTTATCATATTATACGGTAGTTCAACATCACATTGACATTATATATTTGACACTGATGGGAGTCAGTAACTCCATGAACACATGAAAATTTGTCTTCTCAGCGTTCATCAAACAATCTTTATGAGTTACTTTGAATATCTATAATAATTGTCCTAAATCACCCAAGCTACTCGTAGAATTTTAGGTAGTGTGCAAAATTGAATACAAAAATTGTATGTTCAAAATGTAAACAACATTTCTTAAATATCTTTTAACGACCTTTCTATCAGTATATAGTTATAGATACATAAGCTCAAGAGAATCGTCTTCCTCGCTATGTTTACTATTATCAGCATTATCTTTGTCTTATTGTTCGGGACGATAGGTCCCCAAACTCATATTTTTAAATTTTATCTT